TACATTTTTTTAAAGAAAAAATAAAAACACTGTTTTCATTCTTATATTTTAGTAATAAGTTGATAACAACAATACTAAAAATAATTTAAAAAATACAACGTTTTTGGAAGGCGTTATAGATCAGCCTCTTATCACTTTCTCTCTCTATTTTTTATTTTCTTGTCATAATAAGGTGTATGTAATGCGCGGCAGTATGAACGGTGTTATTTTAAAATAAAATATCGTATACTCTTGTGACCGTTATAGACCGAGTTTGCCATACTTGCTTGCTGGTGGAGCTTCCTCTGAGTTCCACTATGTGTCATCACTAATTAGGCGCCATAAATAATGTATTAAGAAAATTATATACATTTGAAATACTATTAATAAAATGTTTTCCATTCTACGCTCTAGCTTCTAACATTAATGTATCTTCAACTTTATATTGCCAAGCAAGTAATACGAAACATATGTATACACGTAATACAAAACTAACAAAACTAACGCTAGAGCAACAAAAGCTATTGAAAGTATGAGTAACATTAATTCTAGTTCTAAATATTCAGCCCAGGATATATTAGCCGCCGGAGAACGATAATGCTTAGCTTCACCATGTCTGAGGACGTATTCAGACCACCATACTGCTCTTTCAAGAGGTGTTTGGGGACTGTCTCGAATTAAGACGTCTAGTTTTTCTATGTTGCGACGGTAACTGAAAAGGATAAGTTCATCAAAGTAAATTTCTATACTTTCTGACGTTAATTCTGTCACTATTATTACGTACATTACTTAAAAATACTAGTTCGAAAATTCAAATACGAAATAGACAAAATGCATAAAATGTATATTTTTCTACACCACAATAAGTCATTTACTTATTTACTCAATTAATGTACAACAGTTTAGTTTGTATAACGCGTATTACATTCAGAATGTAAGTATTAGATAGCGAATTACTGCTTTTTCTAAATCGTCGTTTTTTTTAAATTATTGTGTTAAATATCAAAAGAAGAAAGAAAAGAAAAGAAGACCTTTCCTACCTCTCATCCTCAATCATGCCTTCAATAGCATCTCTGATTTGTTTCACGGATAAAGTTTCCCAGTCCAGTTTCTTACCGATACCGTGAACTATGTATTTTTCCACATTGTACCATTGGTCACCAAGCATTGGTACGCCTATCATTGGCACATGAGCTGTAATAGCTTCTCCAGTAGATTGTATACCACCTTGTGTAATAAAAAGTTTCACTTTTGGGTGTCCTGGAAACACAAGCAAGTAGCAGTTTTAGTTTGACATATATAGTTTTGTTTTCAGATAAAGTATATATAAAATTGTAGAAAATCACAGTGATGCCTCAATTTTGAGACAGATAATGAATACGTGCTGGAATAACCGAGGACAAATTAATGTATAACTTACTGAGTAAATCAGATTGAGGGAACCATTTCCCTATCTTGATATTGTCAGACTTTCCAGGGAGTTCATCTCCATTCCATTTCCAAAGAACATCATAAGGCATTTTAGAGAAGGCTTTAACAAACATTTGCATTTTTTCCGGGGGCAATTGGGTGGGATCCGTGTTTGTGCCGAAACTCATGTATATCACGCCGTGCTTTGAAGAATCTAAGTACCTTTTCAAGTCCTATAAAAATAATTATTATTAGGGTAGCTTCTTCGGAGTCTTGGCAGTTCTTCATCACTTCGACCAGTAATTGATAAAGTTAACACAATAAAAAAACTGAACAGTTTTCCTAGCTTTGATTGTTTTCACTTCTTCTGCCTGCGGCATGTGTTTGCCCAAAAAAGTATTTCACATGCCCAAAAAATCAATTTCAAAAATGAGATAAAACCTAAAAGAAGATTAAATAAAACGTCGCTAAACAAACTATATAACAATTTTTGTTTTAAAAAACTACATTTTGAACTAGCTGTATTGATTGATCGCTGTATTCTTTAATTCAAAAAGCGAGTTCTGTCACTCACTTTCTACTCACTATCTATCTTTACTCTTAAACACTACTTATTAAATGTAATGTAAATAAACACTTTTATGGAAATATAAAAAGTAGTTTAAAAGTATTTTAACATGTAGCTTAAAACTTCTCTGTTGTTATACAAATAACTTTTCTTACCTTTGGAAGTTCCTTTTGTGGTTTCTCGTGTATCCCCCAAATATAAACGACACTTTGAGGCACTGGCACATTTCCTTCTAAAATCGGATGGATATTAATAAATACCATATCAATATTATTACTTAACGCTGTCACAGACGGTGTATCCTGTCCGAAAATTCTTCTTATAGCTTCATTCTCCATTTTTTCGTGTTCTTCATACACGTACACCAACACCAAATGATTAAAAAGTTCCATTGCTTTATCCCAAAGAGTCAAGTTATATAGTTTTTGACGACCTACTGATGGAAAAAGAAAGAAATGCGTACTAGCACCTACAGCTTCATAGGTATCAATCATTGGTCCAAATGAACTAATAACAATTGCTGGTGCCTTAAATTTATGAGTCAAACTTAACGCTGGTCTAACAAAGGCTTCTATAAGGAGCAAATCATATGCGTCTTCCGATTGATTCAGAATATGCTTCACTTCAGGTGTGGTCATTTGTTTTTCAAATATCTCAGTCAATACGTCGAATAACTTTATTGCTTGTTCTAGTAAATCTTCCTTTTTTCCTTTGTTGGTTTCCAGAAATTGTTGCCATGTCTCGTACGACAGATCATGTAGATCAATTTCTGTCAAGTTTTCTGGAGCTTCTCCATGCGGGAACGCAGGATCAGTAGTTAAAACTGTCACGTTGTGACCTCGCTTCGCCAATTCATGTGTTATAGGCCGGAACACAATTTGATGACTAATAGACGGCGTTGGGAATATAGCCAATATTCTGGCTGCCTCATTACTAACGATTGTATGTAGTGCTAAGCACAACGTGAATGTATCCAACCTAAACATGTTTATTTCTGTGCGTTGCTTTGTACTGTCTGACACTATTATACATACGCGCCAACTTATATGAACGTCGGAGGGAATGTTTTATACGGTTTTTCCCTGTAATTTAATGTTTTATTCCTTGTAAACTTATTCACAAGTTAATACATTTCTAAAGAGGTAGATACATAAGTGTATTGCCTTCGTATCCGAACGGTTACCATGCTGGACTGCTACGCAATGGTCCCGGGTTCGATTCCCGGGCCGGGAGAAATATTTGTATCGCCTACATTTATTTATCTCGTAAGTTTGGGTGTAATTTGTGGCTATCTATGTGTGTGTCCATGGCACCCGCAATACAGGGTTTCCCTAGTGGGGGGCTATGAGTGAAAGCGTTATTATTATTATTATATCTTATGTATCACAACAAGTACCTAAAGGATTTTAAATTTTCATTGAATTGATATTCAATTATTTTTTGTGAAATTACTCCACTAGTTTGTTATAATTATTAATATAAAGATCGAACACTCAGAAAAAATTCCTTCCATCCGGCCAGATTCGAACCGACGTCTTCTAGCTTACCGTGCCAGACACTATACCAACTAAGCCACGGAACGAACCAGCGGACCTCACGAATTTTTGTATTTGGTCAACGACTTTTTAGTCATCTGTTATGTCATCTGTTATGTCATCTTTGGAGTTTGGGTTATGAAACATGTTCGAATAGTTTTGGTTTGTGAATTACAGATTATCTTCCGATGTATGTATTTAGTAGCAGTAGAGCTCTTTGTGAAAGAGTTAGTTCAGGAAAGTCCTGCATTACTTATTTCTGTCGCCAAGCAGTAACGTGAAGTGTATGTAAGGTTGCTGGTGAAATTACAGGCATATGGGACATTAATTTATGTCTTCTGGTGACGGGCGCAGTGGCAGTGTGCCTCAGATCTTTGTGGTAAAGCTCTAAGTGGTACTGGAACTGTTATGGACAGGCGTGTCGCTTACCACCAGGCGCCCAACTTGTCCGTCTCGTCACCTGGTATCATAAAAAAAACTGTCTTATACTTCAAACGTGGTTACTTACCGTATGTTAAGCACAGTCAAGCGCACGTTAAGCTTGACATTTTGTACTTTGGACCGTTGTTATTGAAAGCGGCGTAGAGTTGGATTTAAAACTTAAGTGTCAAGGTTGTTTCTCTTTTGTTTTGTTTTTTGCTTGTGTGCTCTTGACCCTGTACATGCCACTATATACATTACACAGCATTAATCAAGATCACGAGACAACTTGGAAAGTCAGGTAATATCGATGCCTTCAATGACCACTAAGCCAACAAAATTTTTGGACCTGTTATGTTTTTATTTGTTTCTTTTTTTTTTCACAAAGTTCATTTTTAATTTTTGTTCCAATTTTGTTATTTTGTTTTCGTATTTTTTTCATAAAATTCGGGCAGCATAATACTAGTCAATAAATATGGCTGTTTAAAAAATAACAAAAAATGCACAAAAATTGGCGTAGTGTTTTCAGGAGGTATCGATATTAGAAGAAAAATCAGGCCATTGAACAAAAAATATATTTGTGACATTACTACCAACGTTAAGTGAATTGGAAAGAAAAGTGGATAAGTTATTGCGTAACGTTCATCCTGTGTTTGAAGGCTATTTTCGAGAACCCTGGAGCATAATTTATATTACAAAAAAAACCTCACAAGGAACTTTTTCATATTTATCTGTTTATTCGTTTGTATGCCATAATGTAATAACGTATTCGATCATAAATAAGATCCATTGAAAAAAAATATTTTTACTTTTATTATAAAATTAAATACGATTTAAGTTTTCGTCGGTTTCAGACAGTGAAACTACATTGTTTGAAACATGAAAATACTTAATAATAACTTCCTGCTCGATCGATTATCGGCTTGCGTTGATAACACTATAGAAATAGAAATAGAAACCATTTATTGTAACGCCACATTATAAAAAAACACAAAAATAAAGACTAATATAGCTAGAACAGAAATAACACAAAAAACAGCGTAAAAAACATTTAAACAACAAGTTGCATAATACTATACTGACATGTGTGCGGCTGTGGCGTGTACAAAAGGATCCCATTCGCTAAAGTCACAACCAAGGCTAGGTTGTGACGCTGGTTTTCAATGGGCTCTAGCCGAGTGAGTGAGAGTGACGGACGTATGCGTGCCGAAACATAAAATAAAATAAACTACGTAAATACTTATATCATGAGTGTGTATAGTGTTATTACAGTGTGTACTCTTATATCGAATAAATACATAATCTTTGCAATATATACATACAGGTATATGTGTGTGTAGTGTGAAAACAAATTAATAAAATATTTAATACATATTTCAAGTACATTACTTCAAATATATTAAACAAGATTATCTATTTTCGTAAAACAAAAGTTGTTTGACTTCAACATTAAACAACTATTGTTCTTACGCAGTTACTATTTCGAATAATGCTACGTGAATTAACGTGTTTAAAAGTTTATGATTATTAAGTTAAACAAAAATATACAATTAAAATAACGTATCACTGTTATAAATATAATTTCATTATCATATTTTATTAGAAGTAATTCAATTGACTCTAAAATAAAATAAAATAAAAGATATAGGAGCTTCCTTGCAAGATTCGCCATATTTGACAATAGTAATAAGATGTTTTGAACTTGTGAACAAGAAGGAAATATTAAAGTAGATGTTTTTATTGTGCTTTGAAGTGTAATTTACTAATTTATTAACAAAACAACGAGTCATAACCTGTTTTGTTTATGAATCTGTTAGCTGCACGGGCGCCGAACGAGTTACGGGAGAAGCGCGGGGTGGGGTCCCTAGCTAACACAATATAACAAGACGCGACCACAAATTAGAAAGATATAGTAGGACGCGACTCGCTCATTTGAAGGCCTAATCTAATTAGGACTAGTGAATTACAATGCGCTATATTGTGCAGTTTTATATACCATTATGTAAGTACAACGATTCAATATTTTGACTTTTACAAACTACTACTAATATAGTATAATGATTAATGAATTACTTGTAATGTAACATTAAACTTATATTAATTAAATTGTGTAATATTAAAAAAAAATAGATTGTGCTTGATAAATAGGCAGACAATTATTAACTAACATTTACAGGGAAAACAGACACAAGATTAATGTCGCAAAGGTGAATGTTTCGCCTGCCCCATACCGCAACCACAGCAATGTTTGCGATAACAGCTGCCGCACACCGAAGCCATAAGCCGAAACCAATGCTGTAAGTGTAAAAGTGAATTTAGAGTGTACTTTTTTGTTTACGTAAAACATACTTTTTGCAATTGATTTTAAACGTGTGCACCGAATTCAGACCACGGAGTGATGGCGGCAGCAAGACATTCCAAATATTTACGGCATTAAATTTGAAACTGCCGCGAAATACTGTAGTACGATGGCACGGCAGGATCAGCGACCATGCAGACACTCTGGTGAAGACAGATTTTACTTCGTGATACCACACTAATTTCTCAGCCAGATAAGCTGGAACCCTATGTTTGATAACCCCAAACAGAAGAGTAGCTAGGTGCAGGTCTCTTCGCGATTTCATTTTTAAGATGTTAGCGTTGTTAATGGGAGGGTGGGAGTTACTTGCATACGCGGTGGTATATTAAAGAAGAACCTTGCACAGTCATTCTGCGCGCGTGGTATTAATTATTATTATACCGCGAAACAACTTATTTTGTCTGTTTTCGAAAAAAAACTGTTTTTTTTTTAAATTTGCTACTGAATTTTAGTTTTACTTACTACGTGTCCTTTGGACCAGTAATATCATTTCGAATTTGACTTAAAGTTATTGTTAAGTGCTAATTATTACGCCAATAGGTAAGCACTTATTCGTTGACATATCGTGTATTGTTTTTATTAGTATTTATTTAAATTAAATTTTGCTTGTAAGGGTAAGATGGGATATGAGGTACCCCATTTTAATCCCCAACAAATAATGCCCTTCTCAGCAACACGAAAAATTTCTCGCACAATTAGAGAACGAGGAAATTCCACAGTCATTACTTCCTCACCATACAAACAAGAATTGGAGGAGACTACAAAAAGAAAGAAGCTTGCGGAAGAGAATAAGCAAAAGAAAAAAGAAATTAAATATTAGAAAAAGTTGGGAAAAAATGTGCGGCTAAAACCAGAAGAGTACCTAAAAAGGAAAAAGTAACAATATCAATAAAGGAAAACAGCGACAGTGATATAGATTTTAAGATTTTCGTGGTTATTCACTAAATGATTATTACTGATTTCAGGTTTCTTACCACGGTATGATTTCTTTTTATTTTCCCGATATTTCGGAACGGTTGCACGCTCCATGGTCACGGGTTGGTCGAAATATCGAGAAAATAAAAAGAAGTCATACCGTGGTAAGAAACCTGAAATTAATTATAATCATTTAGCGACAGTGATGTTCAAAATACTCCTTATTTGTATTGTAGTGGTCGCTATTTAGATTCAAACGAAGGCTGGGCTGCTTGTTCTGCTTGCTATAAATCGGCTCACTGTAGTTGTGCTGGCATAGAGGATGAAGATGTTACGTTCACATGCGAGTTTTGTCAAATTACTGACTATTAACTAATTATTCAATTATAATGGTTGTTTTACAACCAATCTTGCCCCTTAAGGGTACCCCATCTTACCCCATGGGCGTGGCAAGATGGGGTGATGTTACTTTTTCTGGTTTATGATTTTTTACGTTTTAATTAAGTTACAAATATACCTAAAACGACTTAACTATTGAAAACTGATTCTCAAAGGTGATTATTAAAATAAATAAGTTTATATAGAAACATCACTGTCTCATCAGTGTTTTATTGAACTTTGGACGTTAAGTGCCCCATCTTGCCCCCCTATGTAGGGGTACATTGTGTGGACGGCAAATAAGAAATTACTAACGAGGATCTTTACTACGAGGAAATTACTAATCAGGATTAATAACTCGAATTTTGTATTTTTTTACCGTCCGTCCGTGATACATACCATGAATATGAACGATGTATGAATAAATATGGTTCACAACACAATAATTATGGATTTTGCAAATGACTGGTTTTTTGTTTTTTTTTATCAACGGATGGCCAGCTAGCTATTCTTCCATAGATAATACTTTACCATGGCGCACTTTGCCATGGTAGTTTGGTGGAGAATGATAGACGAGTCGTGGGTTGGTAAATGACTGATTATATTTTGTTTGAGTTAGTTATTTGTACTAATTTGGTACGTGTGTCTTATGCTGATTCACAGGGCAAGGTAGTTACTTTTGCTTGCACTAAGACGTGCCTGAATGTCGGACGAAAATCGAACTAAAATGTTGTAAAAAGCAAAGACGCATACAGCTATGATGGACTCAAAAAAATTTCCTAATATTTACACAGAAAATAATTAAAATTATGTATAAGAAGTTTTTAGTAATAAGTAGGTATTTAATTAGTATGTAGCTGAATTATTGTAATTGAATTTCTGTTTGGTTAAAATTTTAAGCGATTGTTTTCATGTCGAACTTAAGTAACCTCCTTGCTTGAACTTGAACCTGACCTACGTAAGAAAGAAAAACAGGCCCGAGAGTTTTAATTGAGGCATGGACACACATAGACAACCACAAATTACACTCAAACTCACGAGAGAAATAAATGTAGGTCATAGAAATATTTCTCCCGACCCGGGAATCGAACTCGGGACCTCTGTGCGGCTGTCCGGCAACCGTTCAGCCACGGAGGCAGTTAAAAAAGTTCGAACACTAACTAAAATTCCTTTAATCCGGCTGGATTGAACCAGCGCCTTCAAGCATACTGTGCACGATAAAATAATTGAATATCATGGTAGTAAAACATCATAACATTCAATTAACTTAAAAAAAAATATTCAATTTTACTTTAGCGTTCCTAATAGTAATTGCTTACATACCTAATAAGAGATAAAAAGTTCCTATACAAGCACTTATTAAACCAAGGAGGCTTAAGAAGAGAGTGACAACAAGGTCTAATTCGAGGTATTGTGCCCAGGAGATGTTGGCAGCGGGCGCACGCAGATATCGCGCCTCGCGGTGCCGCATCACGTACTCCGTCCACCACACCGCTTTTTCCAGTGCGTTCATGGGCTCGTCGCATTGAATCGAAATTGGATATTGTAAAGATAAGATGTAACAGCTTTTCTTCCGACCATATTCGAATATTCAATTAACTCGTACTCGCTGTGTTCTTAACTCCTAAATCGTTTAAAATCATATAAAATGTTGAATTGTATGAGCAAGTAGACTACAAGGCAAGTAGAACTAGCAATGTAATAATAAAAGTGGCTTTACTACTTTTACTTTACTTGTACAGTAATATGATAAATAACGAAACAGAAGTGTTTCACTTTAAGTATAAACTGTAGTCACTGCTTATAAATATAAAACCTTAGAATAATAACGCATAGAAACCTAGTCCGCACACGCTAAGCGAGGCAAATTGAAGCGGCCCCAATGGGCCTACACGAGCGGGCGGGCCTTCGGTGCTCAAGGTCAACTTGCACCGCGAACAGCTCAAGAATTTCAGCTAAAAATAACGAAATGTGCGGTAAATGAGTGTAAAAATACGTCAGACAAACATAAAGTAGATACTAACATCACATTCCACAAGGAAGTAACGCGTTTCAACTTGTATTTTTATATAAAAATTCACTAAAACCGAAAATTAACCTACTACTAAAACTAGCCTACATGAATTTGATTTTTGCCTCACTTGTGACAGTTCGTTTGATATGAAACTATCATTCTATGTGTCATTATTCTAAGTATAAAACCAATAAAATAAAACACTTAATTAAGATTTACCTCTCATCTTTGACAACAGTTTCAATGGCATCTCTAATTTGCTCTTCTGTAAAAGTATCCCAACTAAGTTTAATTCCAATACTGAGATGAACATATTTCTCTGCATTATACCATTGATCTCCTAGCATTGGCACTCTGTAGATTGTAATCCTCCAAGTGTCAGTCATTAGTAAAGTTACAAACGAAGTTTCAGTTCATGTTGGCATTACCAGAAGTATGAGTGTAAAGATATGAGTATATTTTTCATAATGAGAAATTTATCAATATCAATTCAATAAAAAATGTAACCTTCTAGCAGTTGAATTATAGGGACGACATTCATCAGTACAGATAAATGCTCTTCATTGTGATAAACGTGATGTGAACCAAAGAGCAACAGACTTTATAGTAAGTGAATGAATTACTTACTTAAAAGATCTGATTGAGGGAACCACTTCATAAGTCTGACATTTTCTGGTTTACCAGGTAATTCATCTTAATTCCATTTCCAAAGAACATCAAAGGGCAGTTTAGAAAACACTTTAACAAACAACTGCATTTTCTCTGGAGGTAGCAATATGAGGTCCACGTTTGTACCAAAGCTCATATATATTATGCCATATTTCGATGAGTCTAAGTATGACTTTAGACCCTGAAAAAATAACTTATTTATTTCAAAAATAGTTTTATAAGTTGCAGTTACTTATTTTTATCTCAACAAAATTTATTTAACTTCCGATAATGAATTTACCAGTATCATTTTTGGGTGATATACAGACATTCATAATTTGAAAACAAGTATTGATACAATTCCAAAACATGGTAGTAATGTACTAAATATCATTTTATATCGAAATAAAGTTAACAAACTAATATATTAACTCATTAGAAAAGTGTAATTGTACCTGAGGAAGTTCCTTTAGAGGTTTCTTATGTATTCCCCAAATATGAATTACGTTCGGAGGGACAGGAACATTGCCTTCAAATATCGGATGAACAGCATATCCAAGTTATTTTGCAATTGA